CCCGCCAGAGCCAGGTGGGAGGGCAAGGCCTGTTTGCCATGAACTCAGGGGCTGGCAGAGCCCTCAGGGGCCCCTGAGCCCCTGCCCGGAGCAGGACCAGCCCCAAGTGACTCGCCCGCCTCCAGGGATGGAAATTCTGCCCTCTCATGGACACAGCTCCTACCCAGCCTAGCCCCCCGCTCCTCGTCCTGCCACCTGCCACCATTGAACCGCCTCTCTCCCGCCTCTGCAACCACGCGGGGATCGGTGAGCAGCCGGCAGGGACCGTCCGTCGGACCCACGGGCACCACACAGCAATGGAAACAGCCCTGCAGGAGTTAACCAGCTAGATGATGCCAACATGCTAGTTACAGCTGTTGGTGGGTGGCCTGGCTGGGATCCCACCGGCGACCCACCTGTTGCCCTGACACAGCCAGGGGCCTTGCCAGCCCAATACGGACACGGATCTGCCCGCTGGCCCGAGTCGAGCAAGGTGGCCCAACACAGCCTGGACTGCTCCGGTCTAGCACCCCTAGCTGTCCAACTGTTCGCCTGGTAAGCATTCCTGTAAGCCTACTGCTTAACAGGTATCCAGTTACATCCCCAGCCAGGACTGTTCCAGAGCTTTTAGCCTTTTCCTGGCTGTCTCACAAGTTAGTTCCCACAAGATGTTCTGTGTGAGCACACTTGGATATTGGGCTTAGATTCATTAGTCATTTCATTGAGGCTCCTTCCCCAAAAACATACACCACAAGCCACTGGGCCTGCACTCTCAACTCTTTACAAAAGTTGTCACCAAATGAAATGAATAGGTAGCAATTTTAAAGCAAACAAAAGGAAGTTTTTCTTCATGCAGCGCTCAGTCAACCTGTGGAACTCCTTGCCAGAGGAGGTTGTGAAGACCAGGACTTTAACAGGGTTCAAAAAAGAACTAGATAAATTCATGGAGGTTAGGCCCATCAATGGTTATTAGCCAGGAAGTTAGGAATGGTGTCCCTAGCCTCTGATTGTCTGGAAAAGGGTGACAGGAGAGGGCTCACTTGATGATTCTCTGGGGTACCTGACATTAGCTACAGTCAGAAGACAGGACACTGGGGTAGATGGACCTTCAGTCTGACACAGTATGGCCGGTCTTATGTTCTTAAAACTACAGAGGGGCTTACAAAGACTACATCTACATTGGCAAGATTTTGCGCAAATACTTTTAACGCAAGAGTTTTTGTGTTAAAGTATTTTTGCAAGAGAGCGTCTACACTGGCATGTGCTTTTGTGCAAGAGATGTGCTTTTGCACAAAAGCATCTGTGCCAGTGTAGTCACTCTCTTGCGCAAGAAAGCTCTGATGGCCATTATAGCCATTGGGTTTTCTTGCGCAAGAAATTCATGTTGCCTGTCTACACTGGCCTCTTGTGCAAGAACACTTGCGCAAGAGGGCTTCTTTCTGAGCGGGAGCGTCATAGTTCTTGCGCAGGAAGCACTGATTTCTTACATTAGAACGTCAGTGTTCTTGCACAAGAATTCGCGGCCAGTGTAGACAGGAGGCAAGTTTTTGTACAAAAGCATCCGCTTTGCGCAAAATCTTGCCAATGTAGACACAACCAAAATGTTTAGGCCCTGGTGTAAGTGACCTAAACACCCCCAAGAAATATTGCTCACGAGTGCGTGCAAACAGAAAGTGTTCTCTATCTTATAATTCACTATGCTTAGCACAGGCTGGTGAATTCTTTCAGGGATGCCAAAGCAGGCAGAGTCCAGGGCTTTACTGGGAAATGGTTTGTTCAGGAAGGTGAGGCATGAGAGAGCAAAGGTCATCGTGCAGCTTCCAGGGTGACGTAGTTCCACACACTACTCATTCTAAAACAATACTCTGGTTAAACAAGCATGGGCGAGACCTCACCTCCCAGGGAGACAGAGTGCAGGGAACAGAGGTCAGTGCTGTGTCAGGAGCAACTCCCACCCCACAGTTATCCCAAGATGGGGAGGACAGCACTTCTTACACTCATAGGGGTATGGGGCACAGCAGAGTCTCTGGTGAGCAGAGACAATGGCCTACGCTGCCCCAGCTGCTTGTGCGTTCACATGACAGGACATTGCATCTCCGGCCGCAGGGATCGCATCATGCTCAGTGAGGTTTTTTTCAGAGAACCAAGGTTCGTGGCACTGAGTCCAGAGAGGCAGGAGTCAGATTCAGGGCTGCCCTGAGGCCTCACCGCAGCCTGCAGCATTTTCACCTCCCCCCCAATGGCCTCCAGCTGTTTTTTATCCATCTCGTTCTGAGAAGAAAAGGAGAAAGATGTTAGTGTGAGGAGCCCTGAGTGGAGCTGCTCAGCTGCTACCATGAGCTGGGCCCTGCCCCAATACAGCTGGCCAGCCAGGATCACTAGTAATTGGCTCCTAAGGAAGCATCACAGCCTTACCATAAAAACAGGGCTTTAGGGACTTTTCCTCCTCCGTAAATTAAATAGGACAGTGGCAGTTATCTGCAGCCCATGTGCAAGTGAGCAGCAGCAGGGTCTGCACAGGAGCATATGGAGCTAGGACCTCATCAATATATGCAACTCCATGGGCATAGTTATCGGATTCTAACCCTAACTTTCCCTGAGTCTCCTCTTTCCCAGGCCTAGAGCACTGGCTCCCCCTTACCTTGGGAAGCTGGTACTTCTCTCTGATGTGTGTTCTGATTGCTGCGCGCTCCGCCTTCCTCTGAGCATAGACCATGTCCCGTTTGCTCCTGAGTTGGAAAGAACCAGGTCAGCAAGCTGCTTCTCCCGGTACAGTGGGGTTTGGCTGGGGTAGAGGAACCTTGGGAGAGAGAGCTTGGCTGTGTCATGGGTTGACCATCCAGTGCAGCTCTCTGTGGGTCTGACTCTAGGCCATGCTCTGCTCACCCAGGGACATCGCACACAGAAAATGACTCTATACTGGGGTGGGCAATAATATTTGGGCTGCCCTGGAAGGGGCGGGGCCAAGATTCATCCAGGCTTCCCCACCCCCAGACCATGGTTGGACTGGGGATGGGGGAGCCCCTTTGCCCCCCCTTCTCACTAAGCACCCATGCCCCTGGCAGGGTGGGAAGAGGCTTTGCACGCTCCCGCATCCTCAGGCCAATTAGGGCTTGGGAAGCACACAAAGTGTCCTCCGGCCTGCCAGGAATAGGTAGCACTTTGAAGTGCTGCGTGCTCCTGGCAGGGCAGAGGAGACCTTACGTGCCCCGCCCCCCCCCGCCCATAAGCCCTGATTAGCTTGGGGGCAGGAGGAGCACACGAAGTTTCCTCTGCCCTCCGAGGAGCACATGAAACTTCAAAGTGCTGCACGTGCCTGGCAGGGCACAGGAAGCTTTGTGCTCTCCCCCGCCCCTGAACCCTGATTGCCCTGGGGGTGGGAGGAGCGCACGAAGTTTCCTCCACCCTGCTCCCGCCCTGCGAGGCACTTCAAAGTGCTTTGTGCTCCTGGCAGGGCAGAGGAAACTTCGTGCGCTTCCCCCCCCTATCCCCAGACCCTAATTAGCCTGGGGGTGGGGGTGGGGGAGCGGCAGGGCCCCCGTGAGCTGAATCCACTCGGATCCGGCCCGCAGAGGCCCTTTTGCCCACCCTTGCTCTATATGGACAGGCCTGTCTTTAGAGGGATTTCCTGAAACATGCGGGGAGACACCCCTCAAATCCAAGGAGGACTTAGACCATCCCAGTGAGGTGGGCAGGTGCTCTTACGTCTTGTCCTGGGTCCTCTGGTTCTGTTCTGCTGGCCCCTTTATGCAGCCTCCCAGCGCTTGGCGGTCTTTGTCCTCATGAATGTCCGCAGAGATGCAGCACTGCAGCTGTTTCACTGGGGCCCTGAGAGCAGACTTCACCACCGACGCCATAGGAGCGAGCTGGAGAGGGGAGGGGAGCAGAGTGTCTGAAGCAGAGGCAGATCTCAGATTGCGCAACAGACCATCCTTGCTGAAAAAGAACATCCAAGCAATGTTCTCTGAGGTCATTCCTGTGTCACGTGCAAAGGGAGACGGAAAGCAGAAGATTCTGGAAGTGACTTGCAGGCTAAGTCAGTAGCTAAAGAGCAGAGGATCTTAGTTTTGTGAAATATTGGTCCACCTTTTCTGAGGAGAAGGGGAGGTGTAATTGGGTGGCCTTTGCCTCCGTTTGCCTCAAGGACAGGCTGGGACAGACACCTCAAGAGGGGGTTACACTAATAGTAAAAGGCACTGCCTGTTTTGGAGTCACTAATAACTCAGAAGATTATCTTGAACATTTAGGACTCAGTGCTCTAACAGATAAAGCACAAGAGAGTCTATTAGCGTCTGCCACAGACATGACCATCTCCTCATACACCTACCTAAGATGTGTAGGAAAAACAGTTGATCAAGAGGGACTTCAGTTTGAGTGACTTGTGCTAGAGTTCTCATGCCACCAGTACTTAAACAAGCTTGGCATTTCTAAATATTATAGAGAGATGAGAATTTCCTACCTCAAAGTGTTGCGGAACATGGAGGAATTCTTTATTAGACATATCCTAACCGATATAGGAACTAATACATTAATGATAGCTCAGATACGCAGGATCATGACTTGGTGACATTTCTAATGTGCAGACAGAATGACATTCACGCACGTAAGATATATGCTTTGTGCTTTAAGAGAGCAGATTTCACAAAGCTGAAAACAGTGACACGCCAAGTCAGCTGGAAGAGAGAATTTAATCAGAAAAAAAGTGAGTGGTAATTGGGAATAATTTAAGAATATGGAATAGGTGCCCAAAAAGCCACAATCCCACAGTTGTGGAAGAAGTCTGTGCTGGGTAAAAAAACAGCCTGGTTTAGAGGGAAAGTGAAGGCGGCTATAACAACAACATCTAAAATTGAAGACAGGCCAAATTGATAGTAATGAATATAAATAAGAAGTTTGTAGAAAATGGATAAAGGGAACAAAGGGAGGCAAGGAGAAATGTACGGCCAGCAGAGTTAAGGCCAATAAGAAGGATTTTTAAACAATATATAAGGAGCAAAAAGAATCCTGACAAGGATATTGCTCCATGACTAGAGGGAAATGGAAATGTTATTATAATGCTGTAAGAGCAGACATGTTCAAGAAATATTTCTGTTCTGTGTTGGGGGGAAATCACTGGGTCCAGTCTCATCATACGGTAATCACACACTTTCCATCGCACTAGCACGTCTGCAGGATTTTAAGCAGAAGCGTCCAAAGTTAGCCATTTTTAAATCTGCAGGTCCAGTTAACTTGCACCCAAGTTTAAAAAGGCTGGTGGAGGCACTCACTGGACCATCAGTGTTGATTTTCAACAAGTCTTGGAGCACTGGGGAATTTTGAGATTCGTTTTCTTCCAATGTGCCAGTATTTTAAAAGATGCCCCTTACGTTTAACTGGTCGATGAATTAAGCGGGAACCCATTCCCGCCCCTGTGCATGCAGAGCTACCAGTGCTCCTGGCCCCTCCCCCACACCCATGGGGGAATGGCTCCTGTTCCCAGCCCACCCTGCATGCCTGGGGGGGCCAGCTCCTGCTCCCGCAGGTTACTCTAGGGGACCAGTTAACTGGTACTCCGTAAGAATCACCAAGTTATAGTGATGCTTATCAGGTAACCAGCTAACTAGGTATCCATTCACATCCCTAATATCAATCGCAGGCAAGATAAAGGAGGGGCTGATACAGTTCTTAGCCTTAACATTAACAATTACCTGAGAGAAAACAACATCACTCAGTTTTCCATCAAGAACGAAGGGGACAGATCATGTATTCGGAGCCACCTGGATTGTCTGGTAAACTGGGTGCAAACTGTGTTTTCACATGGCTACATGTATGCACCTAGTAATAATCTTAGGCCATACTTACAGGGTGGGGAACTCTAGCCTAGGGAAAAAATGTGAGGGTTCAGGTGGACAATGAGCTGCACGTGAGACCTTAATATGACACCATGGCCTTCACGCATAATCAGGGCTCTGAAGGCGCAGGAGAGAGGTTGCTTTTCCCTCACTTTGGCACTGATGCAACCCTGCAGGAATCCTGTGTCCAGGTCTAGCGCCCGTATTTCAAGAAGGGTGTCGATAAATTGCAGGGGGCTCAGGGAAGAGCCAGAAGACTAGAAAACGTGACGGACGGGGTTCCTTCTGTTTAGCCTGAGAAGGCTCAGGAGCAGTTTGATTGCCGTCTCCGTATTACATGGGGAACGCACATTTCATAATGGACTCTGCAGTCTTGCCGAGATAGGTTTAATAACCGTTCTCAAGCAGGACCCCCGAGCGAGTCGCAATCCTGTTGTATGAGCTCGCCAGGCAGCTGCCTTAAGCCTAAGCCCTTCAGTTTCAGCTTTGCCCCCACCCTGGGGAGCAGGGCTCAGGCTTTCATCCCCTTTCCCTGGGTTGTGTAGTAATTTTTGTTGTCCGGAGGAGGTTGTGATACAATAAAGTTTGAGAAACCCAGGAACAACATGACCCACTGGCTAGACGCTGGGCAAATTCAGACAGTCAGCATCGAGGTTGGAGGGTAAATAACCACTAGAACAATTTACCGAGAGTCCCAGTAGATTCTCCATCACTGAATGTTTAAATCCAGCTGGGATCATTTGGGGGCAATTCCCTGGCCTGAGTTATACAGGAGATTAGACTAGATCACATAGGTTCCTTCTGCCCTTGGAATCTGGGACTCTGTGTAGGGCCTGGGGAGGTACCATGTGTGGGGCTGTCCTGGTCCCAAACTGGCCTAGGAGGAATCTGGCATAGCACAGATCCCAGTGGCTTAGGAAGGGACCCTCACTCCACCTGGTTCCACTAACATTTCACACCGGACATGGTCTGGAGACACAGCCGCTCTGCCCTGCTATGCCAGGGATAGCTCAGCCTCGCAGGAGTAAGGGACACAAAGACACGCACGCCAAGCTCGTGACAAGTCCCTCCATTCAGCGCCTGGGCAGCAGCATCTACCTCATGGCCACAGATCATCCTCCATCCTCTAGGAGAGCAAGAGAGGAGCCCAAATGCAGCCACTCCCCACCAATCTGCAGGCTGCCAGACGGAGAGCACGGGGTTTGGGAGCTCTGGTGCAGGCCTCTCCAGCTGCAAAGGGAGGGAGCCGTGTTGCGACCTGGAGGCTGAGGGCAGAGGGTCAGGCTGGGATTCTCTCAAGCGGGGTAGGTTACTCACTCAGATCCAGTTCCTGCTTGCCCTCGCAGCTGGGTGCCACTGGCCGGCACAGGGCTCACTCTGGCACTGCAATGCGAGAAGCTGCTGGCTGACTAGAAGGCAGATTAATGCTCCCAGGCCAAGCTCCTTACACTGGAATCAGGACACGGAGAGGTCTCAATGTCACCCCAGCTCTAACTCCAGGGGCGGTCGAACTTTCCCTTTATCCTGAGCCAGGACGGGGTGCTAGGCGAGTGCTGTCAGAGCCAGATGGTGTGTTTGCAATACCCCCTACGGGAGAGCTCCTCCAGCATCTGTTCTGCCTCTTCCCCAACCTCCCCTGGACACGCCCTGCCAAGCATTTACCCAGGAAGGCACAGGCTGCAGTGGGAGGCAGCACGGTTCAGACAGCCCCCCTGCATGGCTGGGAGAGGAGCAGAGAGCTGGTGGCTTGGCCGGGAAGGAAGGGACTGGCTGGGATGGCTGCCTGCTGCAGGATCACTACAGCGCACCTAGACTGGCTCCTGACAGCCCTCCATGCCCACCCATCAGTGGGTGAGCAAGGCCCCAAGCGGCTAGCCCGCTGCAGACAGCATCAAGCCTGGAACTTGACAAATCTGGATTAGTCCCAACCCCTGGGGGTAAAGTTCATTCTGTTCTTCCCGTCTTGCAAGGCACTGGCTGCATTTCCCAGTCCGCACCTGCCCATCGCAGAACACTCAGCCTGCCAGGAGATGGCTTTCCCAACGAGCCAGCACATGCTCTGCTGCCCCACGGAACAGCCACCAGGCTAGGAGTCCCCTGCAGAGCCGCCAAGGCTACTGGCTCACGCTGGGCACATGAGCAAAGGCCAACAAAGAGGAAGGCCATCCGAGGAGCAGCCAGGAGATGCCCCACTGCTCGGACTGGCTCAACCCTCGCAAGTTGTCCCTGCTCCTAAGCTGGCCTCCCTGCTCTAATCCAATCGGCGTCGCAGGGCAGGAACCTGGACAGGGCTGAGGCATCAAGGGTTATAGCATAAACCCACACACCAAGAGCAGGCCTGGGCGCATCTCTGGGCACCAGGCAAGCACTGAAGACTGGACTGAGTCTCGCAGCTGGAGGTGGGTTGAACAGAACAGAGACCAACGTGGGTCCAGTCCCCTCGACGTCTCCTTGAGCAGCTAATGTGCAACCGCAGTCAGAACCACCAAGGGTGCATTTACTACCCAGTACAACACTGGAGCCCAAACTCCATTTCCAGAGAATTCATGCCACTTGCACCATCTCCTGGGCCTGGGACCCAGCGCCCCAATCCCAGTACACCGGAAGGTGCCAAGATGGGCCCCCACTAGTCCGGGGTGCAGACCAGGAGGAAGGCTTCCAGGTTTAATTAACTTCATATTTATTTTCACAAAGACTGTACAAAATTCATATAAAACTCTGGTGTGGGGATGGGCTTTGACATTGATCCAAAAAAATAATTCCCATGCGACCCCACCAGCTTCATAACTTAGAAGGAACTGGATGAGCCACAAACAGCCAGGCGCCTGGGGGAGGGCAGCAGGAGAGAACAGGCGACGAAGCGAGACATGAACGGAGGTATCCGCATCAGGGACAGAAGAGCCCCCTCCCCTAGGAGTAATGGCAGCAGCAGCAGGACGTTGGGTCCACGGAGCTCAAAGGCAGATAGAGATCTGGGCTATTTACACTATCTCACATATTAACAACTTTACATGGTAACAAAAGGGCTCGGGGGTTTTGTTGGTTGTTTTTTGTTTTTGTTTTTTTGTATAAAAAAAGCACCAAGTGTCCAAATAGAAATCACACAGGCCTCCACGGGGGCTAGAATCGGAGAGACGGGCACCCGCCACGTCACCGGCTGATGTCTCGACTCGAGTCCCACACTTTTGTGCTCGGCTCTGTGTTCAGTGTGTCGAAGAACGGGTGCTTGAGGGCCTCAGCCAGGGTGATGCGCTTCGAGGGCTCGTACTCCAGCATGCTCTCAATGAGGTCGAAGAGGTGGTGATGGTCCTCCGCCTCAGACGTCAAGTACCGCTGGGGAGACACTGCATGGTTACCAGCCTTGCTGCAGCACAGCCGGGAGCTCCCAACCCTCAGCCAGGGCTCAAGGACTAGACGACACCCAAGCTGTGCATTTAACCAGCACGTGTTGTCCAGGTCTCATCTCTCCTTCGTAGGCGCCTCAGCCCCCAAGCCCTCTTCCCAGGCTGCTGGCTAAGCTCCCAGCACTGCCTGCCCCCCTTCGTTCCAGGTTCCATCAAGAAGCCATGTGGTTCCCAGCCGGCCCAGCTCACAGCCCTGCTGGCTGCAGAGGCCAGATTCTCAGGAGCTGGGGCAGGCATTAAGAGTTCCCATGGGAAGGGAGGGGTTCCCTGGTTGGGAGCACCTGCCTTACCCTCAGCGGTTTGCAGTTCTCCCGGACGTAGCGGCCTGCAGAGGTGTTCTCGTCCCAGTCCAGGCGGCCGTGGTAGAAATACTTCTGCTTCCTGCCAGGGTCAGAGGGGACGCAAGCGGTTACAGCAGAAGGGACGGAGCAAAAGGGCCGTCATTACGCGGAGTTGGTGGGGAGACACCCCCCCTAAAATGCAGGGGAGGGGTCACAGGCCTGCCTGGCTCTGCTATTTCAGAGCAGCGCTGTGAGCAGAGAGCCAACTCAGCAAGCAGCCCCGAGCCTGAGCCCCACCACAGAGAAGTGGCAAGGGCAGCAAACGGCAGGTCCTGCAGCCCCCAGCCAGCCTCTCTCACCTGGTCTTTCGGATCATCCGGGAAGGAATCGGCCCCAGGATCCTCTCCATCATGGCCAAGTGCTCCCGGTTGTCGTGAGTCTGGAAGACACAGATCGGCCCCGCTCAGAAAGGGACAGCAGGAAACAGGCTCTGGCTTCTGCACAGCTCAGCGGTCCGGGGAGCCCTGCCTGCCAGGCCACGCCCCCCGCTAACGAGCCCCGCCCGCTGGAGCCAGTGCCTACTGGGGTAGCCTCACCATGGCCCAGGTTCCAGCTCCAGCAGCCAGGCTCCATGTGGAGCTTGGCCCCAGCTGAGTGCCACAGCAGCCAGGCTCCACACAGCACTTGGCCCTGGCCAGGCACTGCAGTGGCACTCAGCAGGGGCCTGGCACGCCACAGGCAGCCCTCCCGCCGTGCAGGGAAGTGCTTTGTGCTCGGCTGGCAGGGAGCAGCAGGGCAGGCACAGGAAGGCTCTGAGGGTGGGGCTAGTGCTGGGGAGCTCTAAGAGGCAGGGTGCGGGCGCTGGGCCTGGGGGGTTCTGGGGGTAGGGTTAGTAATGAGGGGGCAGGGCTGGTACTGGGGCCTGGCATGAGGGGGATCTGGGTGCAGTGGGACTCTGGAAACAGGAGGCTGGCAGGCACTAGGGAACTGAGGGCGAGAGGCTGGCACTGGGGGGGTGGGGGCAGGAGACCCCGGGGTCAGTAGCTGGCACTGGGGGGTGAGGAGCCCTAGGGGTTAGAGCTGGCACTGGGGGGTTGGGTGCAGGGGACCCCGGGGTCAGTAGCTGGCACTGGGGGGTGAGGAGCCCTAGGGGTTAGAGCTGGCACTGGGGGGCTGGGGCTTTTTTATACTGCAGACCAGCAAACCCATTCACAAACTTTTGGCAGACCAGTAACATTATATTTGCATAGTTGAATATTAATTTACATAATGAACACACAAATATAAGCTGCTCAGCTGCCTGGTGCGGAGACGTCTCCACAGAACGAGTGGTTCCTGCTGGCGGCCAAGGCCCAGCGCCCTGCAAGTCCCACACCCGTCGCGGGGCCGCAGCAGGATTGCGAGCGGCTGCCGAGCCAGGGCACACGTCTCACCTGGAAGAGGGTGAAGCCCACGTAATACTCGAAGACAATGCAGCCGATGCTCCACACGTCACAGGGCTGGCTCCAGCCGAGCTCTAGGAAGCAGAGGGGTTGTCACCAGAGGGACAGAGCAGTCACCGCCCCAGAGCTGCCAAGGAGACTTTCATCCCAGGTGCTGCTCAGCCCGTACTGCTGCCAGTGCCCCGAGCCGCACGCCCGCTGGCACATCTGGAAAGGCGGCTTGGCCGGAAGGCCACCGCCCACAGCTCTCTGGGCAGCACCCATGGGGAACCTCGGGAGCAGCATGCTGCTGCCTGGCACAAGAGCCAGCGGCACCTACCCAGTATGACCTCGGGGGCTCGGTAATGCCTGGTGGAGACGATGGTGCTGTGATGCTCGTGATCAAACGTCGCACTGCCAAAATCCACCACCCTGATGGCCGTGCTCTTCACACTCCGCTCATCGCGCTTCTTGAAGGGGGGGGGCAGAGAAGGCTCTGGTTACACAGGAGTCTCCCTCAGCCCCTTGCACGACAGGGCCCCGCGGAAGCACCTTGCTTTGGAGGAGCGTCTTTAGGCCGGGACTTGTCCTACCTCTCCTGCCCACCCACAGGCCTCGGCTCCTGGGGCACCGCTGCCGTGTGTTCACAGAAGGGGCAGACATCTCATGTGGCATCGAGGCCTTGTACAGACCCAGAACCCTCCCAGTCCTGTCCCAGCGCCTCCCGGGCAGACTCGCTCCCTGCAGCACAGTTCACGAATGCTGCCCCGGGCCAGCTGCAAGCGCTGCCACTAGGAAAACAGCCCCCTTCCCCCCCAGGCTGATTGCAGGGCAGGGGAGGCCAGAAGAGCTTCCAGGAGGCCCTTCAGGCAAGGGCAGCCCCTTTACCTTTTCCAGGTTATAGGTGAGCTCATAATCCGAGTTCACAAAGAGGATGTTCTCGGGTTTGAGGTCCGTGTGGGTGAGTTTATTGTCATGCAGAACTGGGGAGAAAACACGGTCCAAGTCAGAGCCCAGGAAAGCTGGCTGAGGCAGACACCAGTGGCAGGGGTCAGTGAAGATGGGCTCCAGCCCCGGATGCGAGCCCCACCCCCAGCCCCGTGAGACAGCCAGACCTGTGGCGCCCCTGTCCCCATCCCACATGATCATGGCTCTTGCAGAGACGGGGAAAGGAGGCAGGTTTGACCCACAGTAGGGATGTTAGGAGGCAAGTCGTTAGCTAATCATAGTCGATAGAATTTCTATCGACTACTCGGTTAGTCGATAAGAGGGAAGAGGTGAGCAGTCAACTCAACTACTCCCTTAGTCCCTAACCCACAGCACCGTTTTCCTGCTAGGGGCTCGGGAGCCTCTCCCAGCGCTGGGTCCCTGGGCCTCTCTGAGGAGAGCCGGGGGGCGGAGGGGGGCAAAGCAGACACTCACATTTCACAGCCTGGCACGCCTGGTAGGCCATGTGCCGCACTTGGTGGATGGGGTAGGGCAGGTAGTTGTTGTCTTTCAGGAAGTCGAAGGTGCTGAGGCCCAGCAGCTCGAAGGAGATGCACATGTGGCCGTGGTAATCGAACCAGTCAAACATCTGCACACACAGGCTGAGCGGAGACACTCCCATCAGAGGCAGCCGCACCTCCCCCCCATCTCCACAGAGCAGGGCCTCCCCGGCCCCTCCCCACACACACAGCAAGACGCTCACTTCTTATTCTCTGGATCCTTCTCATTGATTTTCTCCAGCACGTTGATCTCCAGCCGAGCAGCCTCCTTATACTTCTCCACGTTTTTTATGATTTTTAGAGCGACGCGGGTACCCGCCCTGGGAAGAGGCAGGACAGCAAGGTCACTGCAGAGCGAAGCCTATGGCTGATGAGGCGGGGTCATGGCCTAGCCAAGTCCAGCAGAGACTTAGGCAGCTCAGCCTTAGCTTGGCTGGTGGCTTACCCCACTGCAGTCACAAGACAGACCATTGTACCCCTGGCCCCCACAATACAGCATCCCTACTGATCCACCCCAGATTTGAACTGCAATCCGGGAGGGAGGACTCATCTCCCCCAAAAAGCTCTCAGCCTTTACTAGGGATGTGAATGACTAGTCACTCCCCCTCCACCTCTACCAGGAACAGA